GTGTGTGAGAGAGAGTGTGTGTGTGTGTATGTGTGGTTATGAACACGATAGAGAAATAATAATTACTCTCCGGTCCATTCTGAAATACAGAAATACGATATAAATAAACAAAATATACAATATATTAAACATTTATTATCACACTGTTGTTATATTATTGTCCCACTTTAAAGCTTAAAAACTGCTTTAAGGCATGTGTGCGTTGAGGAAAACAAGCTCCCCAGGCTAAATGTACTTTTTCCTATCATGGCCATAATTTCTGATGCAGCTGTCACATTTCATAAGAACGAATCATTTCTGTTTCCCGTGCATAGTCTGTATGACCTTCACATGACAAAAGACCGAACAGCTTGGACCGTGAAGGAAATGACTCGAATGAAGACTTGTTCAGTTTGCTGAATGAGATTTGAAGGCTTATGTCAGTGAATCCTTGATGGTCTCTGAGTTGTGTGTAAACTACTCTGATTCTGATCAGTTTAAGAGAAACCACTACTCAGGATTTTCTCTGACACCAAATCTTTCCTCGTTTCTTCCGTACCAGTGTTTTACGCTTGTTTTTATGTGTTTGCCAGTCTCTCTGTCTAGACCTTTTCTGCTTCTTTGGCCATGCATGCACTAAATCTGCCTTTCTTAATGAATAGATCTTCACATGTACTGTTCAGTACCGACACTTATTTCCAGCTCATATGAATGTGATGTCAGAGTGCTGATATTAAGCGTAACAGCACTGGGAGTGTCGCTGTTACTGTATGTTGTAGTATGAGGTGGTGTAATTAACTCTCAAGCTACTGTATTTGAATACATTGCAGTACTTATAAAAAATATATATTTGCGTCACAGATGATCCAAATAAAGTACACAGAATTGTCCTGTTGTCTTTTTAGTCGTATCATTTTTTTGCAGAACTTTTTGATAATCCATGGAGGAATAGAATGGGAAATGTGTTTTTCTATAGTAGTCATTCACAGTAGCTTGTGTAAAAAGCTGCACAAAACTAACGAATGGTAGGATTTTTTTGCAGTGTGTGTGTTAGATATGAACCGTTGTCCTGGTCCACCGATGCCGCTGTTTTTCAGATTGGTTTAGGTCTTGTGCATTGGATTTGGTAGCTCTGCTTCAGCGTCTCTCTGATCACACTTCAGGATTTTTGGAGCGCAGACCTCACAGCCTTCAGTGTTGAACTCTCACAGCTCCATACTGGAGCAAGCATTAGGCACAGGTTTTATTTCTTGAGCTGGATGAGTGATATTCTTGCTCAGTGCTCATCATGTATACAGCAGCTCTCTGTCAGGGGTAAAAATGCAGTCTGAGGTTACGTGTGTATTTGTGTTAGGGCACAGTCTGGCATATGGCCTCCCATATGTTCACCAAGACAAGGAACAAAACAGCCTAACTTGTTAATCGGCTGGGGCGTCACGTTGTCTTGTGTAATCGTTCCTGTGTCAAACACGGACACTGTTAAACTACGTCAGCCTCCAGCCCACATCTGAAGAGAGGTCATTAGGTCTTTCTTACAGTAATATTGCTTTGTGTTTATTTATTAATATCGATCTCATGCAGATGTGGTAGATGATGAACCTCTCGTGTATCATGTTTCTCATGCTTGCTAAACTTTGTTGCTTACAGTATTCAAGACATTGACCCTAAGAGGTAAACATTAGCATCAAACAACTTGCAACAGATATGAATGATACTGCGAATCGTGCAGCTTGTTTCTGAAGCAATTTTGCAGTGAGTCCTAACCAGCTGATTTTTAATGAATGAAAATTGGCAGAATAATTAAGAATTTTTCATGGTCTAGAAAGAAGTCTCTAAATTTCACCCAGACTGCATTAAAAATACAGTACAAATTGTGAAATATTATTACAATTTAAAATAACTGTGTTCTATGTGAATATGTTAAACTGTAATGTATTTCTGTGATGCGCAGCTGTATTTTCAGCATCATTACTCCAGTCTTCAGTGTCACATGATCTTCAGAAATCAGTATAATATGCTGATTTGCTGTTTGAGAAACATTCCTGAATAATTTATGATGTTACAAAAGATTTCTTCAGTGAGCTTTCTATTCATCAAAGAATCCTGAAAAAATTATAGATTCCATAAAAAAATATTAGGCAGCAAATAATGTTTTCAGCATTGATGATACTGAGAATAAAATAGAGTACAGTAGAGGAACACAAGTGGAGTTCATCACCTGAACTCTGACGTTTGACAATAGCTTTGTCATTATTTTCAACTAGAGGTCGACCGATAGTGGATTTTACCGATACGACAGCTAGGCTGGTCCACACTGGCCGATACCGATTAATCAACCGATAACTTTTAAAATAGATACTGAATGCTTTACTGTTTAACAAAAAACATACTTTGTAAATGAATGAAAATATTAAATATATATTGATCATTAATGTTAATAGAACTAACTGTAAAATTTATAAATGTATTAGTTAATGTTGAAATTAACACACTCTAGCAAGGAACAATTCCCCAGTCAGCAAATTTCCTTTGGCTCAGATCTCCAAATCAAGTGTGGCCCAGATTAGAACATGTTTACCGGCCCAGACTGGTCCACATCAACCGATTAATCAACCGATAACTTTTAAAATAGATACTGAATGCTTTACCGTTTAACAAAAAACATACTTTGTAAATGAATGAAAATATTAATATTAAATATATATTGATCATTAATGTTAACAGAAGCAACTGTAAAATTTATAAATGTATTAGTTAATGTTGAAATTAACACACTCTAGCAAGGAACAATTCCCCAGTCAGCAAATTTCCTTTGGCTCAGATCTCCAAATCAAGTGTGGCCCAGATTAGAACATGTTTACCGGCCCAGACTGGTCCACATCGGTGCATAACCCAACCTGAAGTGAGCCAAATAATAAACACAGATTACAGCTGTTATCAGCCTTAGTTCATGTTACAAATGGAGTCTTATTGTAAAGTGCTACCATTTCATTTCAACAGTCTTGCTTAAAGATGGCTGTTTTGTAATGCCTACACAAAGGCCATAGCATTGAATTTACATACTGTAACGGGGTGGAAGGAAGGTCGCATTCTCCACCAGTGTAATGGGGTGGAAGGAACACGCGACAAGGAGAGCTCCAATAAATACCCCGGAGGGTGGATTTATTCACAGAGAAAGTGCTCAGGTGAGTGCGCTGGGTCCTGAGGGGAGTCGAGGCTTCTCCGTGAGCGTGTTCCAGTGTCGGTGAGTCCGTGCGGCACTCGTGCATGGGCTGCTTGGTCACGGGCTGGTTTCTGTAATGCAAAGGAGACAACACGTTAGACTTCAGCTTCTGGGAGAGCATCACTTCTCCCCTTCCTCGGGCCTCACGCGGCTTATCTGGCCGTGGGCTGATGACTCTCAGCTGTGACCAATCAGCCCGTGATGAGCGTGTGCAGGTGTTCCTCGTCCGTTTCCAGGGCAACGCTGATGTGAGCTCGGGACGCTCGTCACAATACATATGGATATTTTTTGTATGCTGTCACACTTTATTTGCTTCTATTCTAGAACACTTGATGATTATCTGATCAAAATAACAAAATATGGCAGTCACACACCAGATCAGGAATCACACACACCAGATGCATCTCATTCAGTTCAAGCGGTGGCCTAAAACAGTTTATTTAATCATCAAACAGACAAAAGTTCACTTCAAGAATGATCAAAAAGCAGCATAGAAGAGTTTGAAGTTCGGTGTTTGAAAAACAAAACAAAAAAAAACAGCAAAACGGAAAAAGAGCAATCTATGGCCCTGTCCCAAATCGCACCCTAAACCCTCGCGGTCTTCTTCTGAGTCCACACTTTCGTGACGTAATGCCGCTTTGACTGTCGGGTAGAAGTCTGCTGCGGAGCTCGCCCCAGTGCAAGTCCACAAGAGCATAAGAGCACATGAAGTGTGCCATTTGGGACAGGGCCTATATCATAGCTCTCCATATGAAGCATGCAGACTTTATTAGAGTCACAGAAAGACAAGTTTCACTTAAAAATGCACAATCTTCCAGCCCAGGGTGAAGTCTTCATGTACATTAACAAATAAAATGGAACAAATATAATGTAATTTAATGTAAAACTGTGTGAATGGCGCTCTGCGGCTGAATGAACAGATCAGTTTGTTTTCTCACGTCACAGCTTTACATCTGCAAATTCACTGGATAACAAAAGCATTAAAGTGACCAGCTGGATATAAACTAATGCAAATAGATGGTAGCAATCGTGACATTAAGCATTTGGGTCAGACTTGCGTGTGTTTTGCTCACATGTGCTTTCTCCACTAATGTAGCATCTAGTCAACAAATTAATTACTTTATATGAAAACATGCACTAAAGTGTACTGTGTACACTTTGTCAATGTTTTAAACCTTCAACTGAAGTGTTGTGTCAAAACAAACAGCACGTGCTGTCAGTGATTTCCGCCACTAGAGGCTGCTCTCGCTCTCGTACTGTATAATGACAGCAGAGCTTCAGCCGCTCCAGCAATAGACGCAACCTAGAAAAAATATGGATTTTTATCCATATGGCATGGATTTTTGCTATGGATTGTTTCATCCATTGTCAACCAACCGATAGTCGATTGTTCCAGCAATCGACTATCGGTTCTGATTAATCGGGAAAACCAATACATCGGTCGACCTCTATTTTCAACTCTAGATCCTGTGTTTCAGAATCTGAACCATAACAAACCTCTTTTGTAAAATGTTTTGCTTGGAAGAAAAGGCCTCTTGGCCTTATGACCAGGGTTGCCAGGTCTGAAAAACAAAACTAGCCCAATGAGCCTATCTCAAGTACCAAAACTCAAAATATGCCACTCCTATAAATGCATATTTTTAACAGTCACGGGTATGTTTCATGCACAATTACAACTTGAAAATAACTAAATAATGGGAATCATAAACAAACACAGGAGCTGAATGGCTCCCCCCTTCACAAAACTCATCATCTAGCACAGTTTTATCACTGGTATAATATGAAAATGGGAAAAATAATCTGATACAAGCATTTCATTCAGATACACTTTATTCAGTATCTCAAGCCTTTAATCTCCCGCAGGAAAAAAAAATCAACCCACAGTTTAAAAGTAGTGCAACCCTCGGCAGCAAACATTATTTAAGATGCCATCTTTTAATTGTCAGAACAGAGAGAGATGCATTTTTCGTGTCCGGTCAGTCTCTCAAAGTTCATAAATCATCCATCTCTGTTGCGTGTGCATAAACAGCGGCATGCAGACAGCCTGTGGATTACGTCTTACCTTTGATCTTAGACGCGCACCTGCGATACGAGAGTCACAGACTGCTTAGACATTGATCCTGATTGTGTTGTAAGCCTCCGAGCCGTGCAGGTGTTGCCATATGGCGAGAGAGCGTTCGTAAGGACACTACTGCTCCGTACAGCGGCCCTTAAGAGAAAATCAAAGCAGAGCAGAGATATCTGACGCATGAGTCTGCTGGAGTTGATGGGATAGCGAGCATTGATGTTTGACCCCTTTGATGAATGATGGGAATAGGCAGCTCCTTTGCTCCCCGATCAGATCAGATCTTTACTATAAGGTATGTGCTGTTATTGGTTGTTATTCGCTTGCCAGGATCCTTGGCAGCATGCTCTTGAAGAGTTTAGTTTGTTGACATAAGACAGCCTGTCTGTCATTAGCTGTAATGAAAGCATGTGTTTCCAGTTATGCTGCTCTTGTACAAAATCTGCCTAACGTCCTCAAGCACACATTCCCAAACCAGAAACGATGAAATACTGCCTTCTCTCACCGTGAGCATCCTCTCGTCGCTCTCAGTGAGTGTGTAATCAGTGATTTTGACATGGTTTGCCATCTTTAGCTGCAGGCTGATGCCATGTTTCTATGTAAGCATTTGGCAGGTGATTCAATCTGAAGTGACTTACAATGCATTCAAGCTATGTGCGAACCTTTCACTGCGCTCTACTAGAACTAGAGCTAATAATAGTTGAGCCGATTGTGAGTCTGTGTGATTGCTTTTATTGTGGAAAGTGCTACAGTATAGAAATACATTGGGAACTGGGGGAGTCAGTTTCATTTTGCTTCGGGAAATTCCAAAAGGGAATACAGTCCATTTTTATCCACAATTGAAATGTGCATACCTAAAAAATAAAAGTAGTGTTTTATTTTCCTCTCAGTAATTGTCCAGTTCCAATGCATTTAGTGTCAATTTCATTTGTTTAATTTCAATATTTAATATTAAATGCAAATTTTGTATGAGCTTCAGTCATGAGAAAATACTCTTTTTGGTAAAAACAAATGAAGTTCACAAAGGGAGCATTGTGAAACATGAGCTTAATTGGATGAGACTGGTAAGGAAGGTTGAAGGTTTCCTCAGGGTCATAACTGGCTCTTCCTTCTCTCAAACTCAGAGTGAGCTTGACGCCGAGACAGAACCTGTCCAGAATCATCCTGAAAGGAATCTTCCAGGGGGTGAAGGTGGTCCGGGGGCCCGACTGGGACTGGGGCAACCAAGACGGTGAGACACGCTCGCTAACACCTCTGACACTGCATGCTTTGCTTCATTGAGTTTCAGCCGCTCTCATCCTGATCAGCAGAGTCTCAAAGGCTCAGAGGAAGGTGCAGCATCTGTAGAGCTTATAGGACACAGAAACTGAATCTCGTCAGTCTAGGGTCTGTGGGACTCTAAGGATGGATTGCAGTTCCTGGTCCTGGAGAGTTTAGTTTGAATTCAGATGAAACGCTCTGAAATAAACCAGTCAAGGTCTTTGGGTTTGCCTGGAAATTCTGGTTGAAACGGTTGAAACGAAACTCTCCAGGATCAGGAATGAGAGACTTTTTTTTGGAAAGGGAAGTGCCTTTGCTGTTGTTGTTTTTTCACATTGATAACATTTGTGACCCTGCAGCACAAAAGCAGTCTTAAGTCGCTGGGGTGTATTTGTAGCAATAGCCAAAAATACATTGTATGGGTCAAAATTATTGATTTTTCTTTTATGCCAAAAATCATTAGGACATTAAGTAAAGATCATGTTCCATGAAGATATTTTGTAAATTTCCTACCGTAAATATATAAAAACTTCATTTTTGATTAGTAATATGCATTGCTAAGAACTTCATTTGGACAACTTTAAAGGCAATTTTCTCAATATTTAGATTTTTTTGCACCCTCAGATTCCAGATTTTCAAATAGTTGTATCTCAGCCAAATATTGTCCTGTCCTTACAAACCATACATCAATGGAAAGCTTATTTATTCAGCAATAGACCCTTATGACTGGTTTTGTGGTCCAGGGTCACATATGAGTTGTATAATGTGAACACTTTTTTGAACTCATGGGATGTAGACACTGGGAGCGTTGGGCAGTGCCATGCTGTTTTATCATCTGCTCTGCCGTTTCTATAAACACTTGCACATGTTCTCGTGTGAAGATATTTTCGTATTATTTTAAAATGTTGAATGACTTTAATGATGAATGAGTCAAAATGTCCTTGTGGTGATCACTGGCTGATCCTCGCAGACGTCTGTAGACGGTGAGGTTCTCTGGTGTTCTCTGTGTTATGCGTGTAATCTGAAAACATATTCTGGCTGTCATGGCTGCGTTTTAGTGCTGGTTAGTTGTTGCTGAACTCGTGTGTGTTAGCTGGTGATGGTGGTTATTAGATGTTGTTGCAGATGTGATGATGAATCTCACAGCTTGTGAACATGTCCGTATTTCACCACAAATCAAAAGAGAAAGTCAGAAAGGTTTTCCATTCAACCTTTTCTCAGGATTTAAGACCATTAAGATGTTTGAATTATGACATTTCCCTTTGCGCACATATTTCTCATAAAGAAAATTAGGTCTACTCTTAGGACTGTTAAGAAAAGCTAAAGAGTAGGACTGACATTGGTTGTGAAAAATAACCTTGATTTTCTTCATGCAAAATATGATTGCTTATTTCGTCTTGTGATTTTGGGGTAAATCTTGACAGGGTTTGTGAGATTCAGCTGTGTTCTCCTGTGTTTGCCATAGCTTTTTGAGTATTTCTTTGTTGTTCCCTTGCTGTATCTTTTCATTGCGAAAAGTGAAATCTTGGCTCTTATATATTGGCTTTGGTGTGTTTTAGTTGTTACGTGTCATTTACTCTGATCCAGTGTCAGAAACAGGCCATATTTGCTTCCCGGAGTTGATTTTATTAGTTTGATGATGGTATATTTCTATCCATGAAACGCATGAAAACACAGTGTTTTCCATCTTCTTCCATTTGCATGAAGTAGAATAATTATGACTGTTACTCATATAAGCAAATCAACATCAAATTCAAAAACAGCTGTAGATAAAGCACAGTAACATGATGAAACTCAAGTCATGATTTACTGATTATTTTATTTTATTTTATTTTAACCCCTCCGTGTTAATGAGATGCACGGTAACTTTGTTTACCTCCTGACTCCATATAAAGAGGAGACTTGAGCCACACACAGATTTCCAGTAAAGTAAGTGTTTTGAACACGGCCTGGTTTGGTGTTTATTCTCCCATAAACAGTGTGGTTAAGGTAGCGCTAAGCTTGTGCTTCAGGTCACAGCCACTGTTTTCACAGTCGTCACAGTCAGCGACAGCACACACTCAACACGTCATCGGCTCTGGCTAGTAAAAATGTAACTAGTCTCTTATTTTGGGAGTGTTTTTCTTTGCATTTAAAGTTTTCCATCTTATCTTCTATCACCACATCATATCAGCTTTACATTCAGCAACACTCACAGCTGTATGGTGCATCATAACATCATAAGCAGATTATGGTTAAATCTAAAAATTTAGCGTATAAAACCACAGGTATTCTCAACATTTGGTTCCTTTCAGATGCATTTTCTGACCCTACTCTGCTCTGATCAGATTTCTAATTTTTTCCAGACAAAATGCATGCATGTAGGTTTTCTCCCGTCTCATGTTTATATCCTTCAAAGCTGCTGATGTTGGTCTGAGACTGCTGCCCTGTGCTGCTTCTGTCTCTGTGTGTGTGTGTGTGTGTGTGTGTGTGTGTGTGCGCGAGCAGGAGGTGAGGGAAAGGTTGGGAAGGTGGTGGATATTCGTGGATGGGATCAGGAATCAGGTCGTAGCGTGGCTAGTGTCACCTGGTCCAGCGGAACCACAAACGTCTACAGAATGGGCCACAAGGGCAAGGTGGATCTGAAATACGTGTCGGATGTGCAGGGAGGATACTACTACAAGGAGCATCTGCCCAAATTAGGTAAGAGCGGCTGTAAAACCAAGCTGAGAGTGTGTTTGACAGTGACCTGTAGCTCATGAGAATGATTTATTTTTGCACAGAGCAAATCATTTACCTGCACAAGTACAATGAGACTGAAAAAAGCTACATTTCAATTTTTACATCAGTAAAACCATTGATTTTATTTTTAAAAATAGAGTCCAGTGTTAAGTTTCCACAGTCTGTGATGATTTGGGGTGCAATGTCATCTGCTGGTGTTGGTCCATTGTGTTTTTTGAAAACCAACGTCACTGCACCCGTTTACCAAGAAATTTTGGAGCACTTCATGCTTCCTTCTGCTGACCAGCTTTTTGAAGATGCTGATTTAATTTTCCAGCAGGATTTGGCACCTGCCCACACTGCCAAAAGCACCAAAAGTTGGTTAAATGACCATGGTGTTGGTGTGCTTGACTGGCCTGACTGTATGTTGCAAGATTTTTGTCTTTTGTGACTGGAATGTTCCAGAATATTCCAGAATGTTACAGAAACTTCCAGAATGTTCCCATCCTTACAAAAGCAAAATAAAGCAGAAACATTAGTACAAAATTAGCACAAAAACTTCTGTACTAAACCAACATTTCATATTTAATGAAAATTTTGAAAATTTCCCTGACCTAAATATTTACCAAAATATTGATGGTACGTGAAAATAAATGGTACATTAATAATTAGCACGACAGAATTACAGAAGGAGCATAAAACATTTAAGTTCTGTCATGACAACTCTCGGAGGGATTGGCATGGTAATGTACATGACAATGTTAATGTATTTGGTCTTGGCAGAATAGATCTGCTACGCTGCTGCTGCTACTCCTGCGGCAGAGCAAGTACCGAGACTAAAATGCATGTAAGAAATACTGCTGCTGCACATATAACATACATGAAATAACCCCCATATAGCGTACATGAATCACCTCATAGCAGATCTATACAGGTGGAGCTGGGGAAGGTGGAGGGTTTCTAAAACAAGCTACAACTGCTACGGCAAGCACTAGTCATATATATGAATGTTGAGCAGCGAGCTCATTGGCTACCGATACAGGAGAGAACCAATCAGCTGTGCCATGTGATAATGATGTCATTAGGTCAGATTGAGTTAGACCTATCGGACTGCGCCATCTAGAGTTTCATGCCAGAACTCTGTATAGAAACAAATTTTTGTTACGTTGTGTATTACAAAAAACAGCAATGTACCATTTTGTGTTACATTGTGGCCTACTGAGAAATGTAGTTCCGAGTAATGACGGTACGTTTACTCTCCAGCACTGGTGTTTGATAGCGTTTTATCTGGTGTGCGTGTGTGTGCGTGTGAGTGTGTGTGTGTGTGTGAGTGTGTGCGAGTGTGTGTGCGCGAGTGTGTGCGAGTGTGTTTGAGTGTGTTTGAGTGTGTGCGAGTGTGTTTGAGTGTGTGCGTGTGCGAGTGAGTGTGTGCGTGTGCGAGTGAGTGTGTGAGTGTGCGAGTGAGTGGGAGCGTGTGCGAGTGAGTGTGAGTGAGTGTGTGTGTGTGAGTGCGAGTGTGTGCGAGTTTGTGTATGAGAGTAAGTGTGAGTGTGTGCGTATGTGTGAGTGAGTGTGTGTGCGTGTGTACTTGTGAGTGCGAGTGTGTGAGTGCGAGTTTGTGTGTGTGAGCGAGAGCGAGTGCAAGTGAGTGAGTGTGTGTGAGTGCGATTGTGTGTGTGTGTGTGCGAGTTTGTGTGTGAGCGAGTGCAAGTGAGTGTGTGCGAGTTTGTGTGAGCGAGTGCAAGTGTGAGTTTGTGTGAGCGAGTGCAAGTGTGAGTGTGTGTGTGTGCGCGTGAGTGTGTGTGTGTGTGTGTGTGCGTGAGTGTGTGTGTGCTAGTGAGTAAGTGTGTGTGTGTGTGTGTGTGCGTGAGTGTGTGTGTGCTAGTGAGTGAGTGTGTGTGTGGGTGTGTGTGTGTGTGTGAGAGTGTGTGTTTGAGTGAGTGTGTGTGTGTGAGTGAGTGTGTGCGTGTGAGTGAGTAAGTGAGTGAGTGAGTGTGTGTGTGCGTGTGTGAGTGTACATGTTTTTCTACACTGGTGGGGACTTAAAGCTGAATACACACCAACTCATGGGGACTGTCACCGTGGGAACCTAAATTGAGGTCCCCATAGGTACAGAAGCTTATAAATCAAACAGAATTAGTTTTTTTTCCCGAAAAAAAATGCAGAACATTTTGTGTGAGTCGTAGGTTTAGGTGTAGGGTGATATAAAATACAATTTGTACAGCATAAAAACCATTGCGCCTATGGAGAGTCCCTACAAGGATAGTGAACCAGACGTGTGTGTGTGTGTGTGTGTGTGTAGGCGAGCATGCGGAGATGCAGCGGCAGGAGAGCGCAGACAGTCACTCGTTCCAGCAGGGTGATAAGGTCAAGTGTCTGCTGGAGGTGGAGATCCTCAGACAGATGCAGGAGGGTCACGGCGGCTGGAACCCAAAAATGGCGGAGGTGAAAAATCAGTTGTATTTTCTTCTTAGTTAATGTTCCTGATCGTGCTGTGCAAGATTTCATCAGGGAACTTCTTTTTAAAGAAAATTTTGTAACTGTGTTTTTGTAAGTCTTTTGCGTTGGCTTGACCTCTGTTTAGTTGTGATAGCATCTCAGTCCACATTGTGTTCACACTGGTTATTTTAGGAAGCAAAACTATTGGAATATAATAATAAAATACTTTATTATTATTATTATAATTATTATTCCCAATACATTAATATATTACTTTTGTAATACAGCTGCACTGTAAACTAAATGTAAAAAAGAGTGTTTCATATTCAGTATATTCATTGTTTTTATAGTAAAATTGTAAAACTTATATCTTAATTTCTTCACGTGTGAAGGGTATACCCTCAAGCTTTCATCTTAGCAGAAAACAGGTTTACAAACACCTCATTACAAAGCTAGTGAAATGCTGTAAAAAGTAATGAAATCAATGTCACAATACAAAAAAAAAAAAAAAACTTTATGGCCCCAAAATAGACATCATTGTATTTATGTCCAAAATAATTTCTACAATATTTTTTTTTTTCATTTTGAAATAATTTTGGTGATTGATTGATTGTTTTATTTATTTTTTTAGTGAGACTGACAAATCAGAATGAAAGTTAATAGCATGTGTCTTACAGAGCCAGCATTTGACTCACAGTTGTGACTAAAAATAGATGTGTGCAAACTCTACAATGTATTTAGGAGCATGTGTGCTAATGAGTTTCTTAAATTGTATAAAAAACATCTTAGTTATCATTTTAGGAGCTCTTATGATTTGGGGATGGAAAAACAGGAATCGCAAAACAACCTAATAGTATTATTGAACTTCAAAGGGCTGTGATTTATCAATATGCATAGTTTTTTTTTCTGGTTAATATTGGTAATTTGGTACCACACAGTTGACACAAACTGTATCTGGAATTTAATTCAGTGTAACATTTTGTAGTTTTTGTTTGAGCTCTCTATTTCTTCTGTTTCTCCATTTTTCAAATTTTCAGTTTGATGCGCTCTTAAACTTTTCAGCTGTTTTTTTGAGGAAAAAGTAATCTTATCAGTCTCAGTATTTTGTGAAGTGCTTCTGAAGTTGTTGTCAGTGCTTGTGTTTGACTGTGTTGGCAGTACATCTCCAGAATCGGCACCGTGCACAGAATAACGGACCGCGGGGACGTGCGAGTCCAGTACAGTAACAACATCCGCTGGACCTTCCACCCCGGAGCCCTGACCAAGGCAAGCCCATGCCTCACAGAAACACAGAAACCGGCCGCATGCACGAAAACCTTCTTAAGAAATAAGTTTCTTCAGATAAATTCAAAGACGTTCGTAAGAATGTTCCTAAGTGCAATTCTTAAAAAGTTCTTAAGTATGTGTCCCTGGAGCACAAAAACAGTCATAAGGCTCAATTTCTCAAAACTGAGATTTATACATCATCTGAAAGCTGAATAAATAAGCTTTCCATTGATGTATGGTTTGTTAGGATTGGACAATATTTGGCCGAGATACAACTATTTGAAAATCTGGAATCTGAGGGTGCAAAAAAATCTAAATATTAAGAAAATCATCTTTAAAGTTGTCCAAATGAAGTTCTTAGCAATGCATATTACTAATCAAACATTAAGTTTTGATATATTTATGGTAGGGCTGGGCGATAAATCGTTAATAATTATTATCGCACGATATAGATTTCCTCGATAAACGATAACAAGAGTTCGATAAATGTTTGATATAATGCGGCAAAGGTGGAACGAAAGAGCGCTAGTCATTTGCGTGCGCCACTAAGGGGTTATCCGCTCGGATCAAAATTTCAGTGGTTTTCCATTGACTTAAGCTTTAAAGCTCTTCATCCAGGTCACCAGTAGCAAACAATGGAGCGCGTTCTGCTGGACAAACTAAGTAATTACACCATTTCAAGCATTTTATCTGCGTTATATGTTCTGTAAAAAAAAAATTCTTATTGGCGGCATATTCGCCGATACCGATATATCGGCAAAACGATATATATGTGTCGGGCTCTAGTTGTTACTGAACTTTGAACTCATGAAAGGCGCGTCAGGCGTAATCCTGACCGATCATTGTTTATATTATCAGTCACTGGTGTGTCAGAAAACTTGTGCACATCGCTGTTAATAATCCTACTGCATATTATATGTCGCAAGTGTTGCTGTAATGCTTAAATATGACAGTTAATTTGAAATAACCCAATAAATTCATTAAATGAGTCTCACCATTCGGGATTTAAGACAAGTCTGAGGTTATCCGAACTTTAAGAAGTTATTTTGATGATTTTTAAGAAGATTCTTTTCAAGAATTTGAATTCTTCTTAATTTTTGTCTTAAGAGCAATCTTATAAGAATATTCTTAAGAATAACTTTTGGGAATACAAGATATTCTTCACTTGTTTTTCTTAAGTTAGAAGACATTTCTTCTTGAGAATGTTTGGTGGATCTGGCCCCAGCTCGCCATGTTCGCCTGTGAAGTGTTTGTTCAGGCCGGCTGTACATCAGTCTGTTTTTATGGCCTGTTTATATTTAGCTACGCTACCGTCCTCGTCATGAAGCCTGCTTTGCTTGTACAGAAAGCAGGCCATAAATAGATAGCTGTGGCTGTTTCTGTCTGCTTAAGTGGCAGATTGTGAGGTCTGGGCTGCCGATTAGCTGCAGCCTCAGACAACTTTGCGTGATTGGTCTTTAGGAAGCGTGTGTTCCTGTAATAGAGTGGTGTGTGTGCAGGTGAACACGTTTGCTGTGGGTGAGCTGGTGAAGGTGCTGGATGACACTGACAGTGTGAAGAGACTCCAGGTGGGCCATGGAGAGTGGACAGACAGCATGGCTCCAGTAGGTTCCTCCACAACACACACGACTTGGACTGAAGATCACATTTAATTGTGAATAAACTAACTTCCCCAAAGTTTTTGTGACTGGTTTTAAACAGATGTTTAAAAAAAAAAAAAATAATTACCTCAATGCATTTTAGTTTTTTTTTTTGTCTAGTATTAACCTTAAAGTGATAGTTCACCCAAAAATGAAAATTGGCCCATGATTTACTCACCCTCAAGGCATCTTAGGAGTGTATGACTTTCTTCTTTCAGACGAATCCAATCGGAGTTATATAAAAAAGTCATGGCTCTTCCAAGCTTTATAATGGGAGTGAATGGGTGTTATTTTTCAATAGTCCAAGAGAAGTCCAATAAAGCGCATCTATCCATCATAAAAAGTGCCTCACACGTCTCTGGGGGTGAATAAAGGCCTCCTGAAGCGAAGCGATGCGTTTGTGTAAGAAACACATCCATATTTAAAACTTTATAAACCGTAATCTGTAGACCGTACCAATCTAGCTTCCGCTAACTGTCATACACGCGTTCATTCCAGAGGATGACGTAGGCATAGTGTAAGCTCCGGTGAGAATATGCTAGTCTCGCGAGAATCACATTTTGTTTACAGGAGCAAAGCAAGCAAAGTTTCCTCACTTTAGCAAAGGAAAACCAGTCTCCTCTTGGCTTATATCGAAGTCCTCTGACAATCTTCTTTACAAATCCTCATTTTGTACTTCTAATTAGTGACCAGTGTTTTGTTTTGATCTCTCCGCTGCGCTTCCACATTAGACACTTCTCACCGGAGCTTACGCTACGCCTACGTCATCCGCCGCAATGAACGCGCGTACAACAGTTAGCGGAAGCTAGAGATTACAGTTTATAAAGTTTTAAATATGGATATGTTTCTTACACAAACGTATCGATTCGCTTCAGGAGGCCTTTATTCTCCCCCCGGAGCCGTGTGGGGCACTTTTTATGATGGATAGATGCGCTTTATTGGACTTCTTTTGGGCTATTGAAAAATAACACCCATTCACTGCCATAATAAAGCTTGGAAGAGCCAAGCCATTTTTTAATATAACTCCGATTGGATTCGTCTGAAAGAAG